TTCACCTGCTATCCCACACTACCTAAAATGGAAAAATGTGCACCCACTGCTTTTGCTGTTACACCAACCAGGACTAGGTGCTGCCACTTTCCAGAAGTTGTGAGATGTTAACTAAAAGAATATGAGGCCATATCAAAGAGCCAGAGAATGTTCTTATTGTAGTGTGGTGTTTGCACATAGGGCCTGCCTGTTATGAGGGCCAGTGTGAGGCTGACCAGAGGAGTAATATAATGCATACATGGATCCCCCAGAGCCCCATGGTGTAATTGGTGTGGACAGAGAGCTCCAGAGAGGTTACAGTTATGGAACTTCCTCTAATGTCCTGCTAGGAGGCTACTTTTCCCATACCATAAATACTGCAACAATATCCATCTTAACCTGGACATAAAATTCTTGTTTTTATTAAACAGTGAAAAACTGAGAGACTCATGCACTATTATTTGTTTTAATTTTTATGCAAATCATGATTTTTTGGGTTTTCTAGATACAAGTGGCCTCCTCATCTTGTCTATAGTAAATTAAAAATGGCAGTTGTTTTATTTCAGTAAGAGAAGATTTAAAAGAGCCAATAATTATTGATTTGCTCAATTTTTCTATAGATGTACAGGAAAAACTGTGCATAATCATTACCATCTCTCCTTTCTTCCTTCCTACATCTTCCTTTAATTCTACACATCTTTCTCCAGTCCATCAAAACCACTGCCACTTGATGACACAGACCCGTGCAGATTACAACTTTATTACCGTGATCAGAGCTAAATCTACTATGTCAGGATTTCCCCTAAAATAACTCCAACTGGGACAGATCTAGCCTTTGTTGACCACAACGTGTGGGGTTTTCTGACTGGAGCAGAAGGAGCTAAAACACTTGTCTTTAGTAAAGAGGGGCATTACTCCCTCCTTTCTCAGTTGGTGTTTTCTCTGAACAGGGAGCTGTCTCTCTCTCTGCCTGCCCATCACAGCCTCTGGCCATTAATCATCTGAAGTGGACAGTGCTGACAGGCATTTGGCTGCATTACTCTCATTTTCTTCCGCTCTCTTTCTTTATCTTGCACCCGTAGCTCTCGCAGCCTCAATTACTGCTCCCCTAGTCCCATTACCTATTCATGGCCTTGCTTCCTCCCCAACCCAACCGTGCCCCCCCACCCCCATCCCAAATGAAGAAGTGGCCTGGTGTCAAACCAAAAACAATCACCCATCTGCTTAACTGAAACCTCTCAGGTAGTTAATGCTAGGTAGGTAGGTAGGTACTTTATTGTTCCCTCAATGGGAAAATTTCAGTGTTTCAGCAGCAATGGAGAACAAACAGCATAACACCATGAGAAACAAACACCACACACACACCCTGATAAATAAATTCCAAGTACTCAAAAATAGACAGAATCAAGTATTTGAATAATCAAGAACAGAATTTACATATGTGCATATTAACCATGCATTTCACCCCAGGATTTGAGTATTGCACCTCAGTTGACTATTACATAGTCCCTTATACTTTCACCTAGCTTATCCCTTCAGTGATGTATTGTACAGTCTGATTGCTGTGGAGAGGAACGACCTACGGTAACGCTCCTTCTTACACTGGGGATGTAACAGTCTTGCGCTAAAGGAACTGTTCAGAGCCTCTACTGTGTGGTGCAGGGGGATGGGAGGGGTCGTGCATGATGGATGTTAGTTTTACCAGCATCCTTCTGTCTGCCACCTCCTCGATGGAATCCAGGGGGCAGTCCAGAACAGAACCAGCTTACAATACCTTGACCAGTACCTGGTCAGTACCTTGACGTAACTCTTGACCAGCTTGTTTTGCAGTTAATGGTATCAAGCTAGCGTCAAAGCTTTTCTCTGGTTTCCCCGTTGGGGTTTATACAGCAAAAACTGTAATGGATGCAGCAAATACTGGCATAACTTATTAAGGCTAATAACCCCCACCCACACTTTTTTAACATGAGCAACTCTAGTGCATTTACATTACAATTACATGTCATGCAGCTGATGTGCAGTGAACCACAAGAGGCTCTCCAGTTGAATATGACTGAGCTGCTCTCCTAAAATTACAAGCAACAGTACAGGGGTCTGATTGTAAAAGCAAAACTGGGATTTAACAATTATTCCTGCTTCACCTACACTGATCTTACATAACAAATGAGCAGTCAGCAAAAAATAAGAGCTATGGGTGTAAAGGTAGAGAGGGTTTGTATGTGTGTCATCTGCTTTTTCTGTGATGTACAGCCCATCAATGGGCCCCCTTAAGCACAGGCAGGATTTAGGACAGCTGCTAAAATTCTTCAACCATTAACACGCACACACAGAGGCAGGAAATGGGAATCACTCGTAAGTTTTCCTTCCAGTGTTGCTTTCCTCTCAAGGTCTGGAGGCCCCACAATGATGTGGGAAAAGCACTTGGCCATTTGTTTCTCTCCGTCTGAGATTTCACTGGAGTTCACTTAATGACACTACTACTTCAAAATTAAAGTAGCACTTTTAAGCATTCTGTTTGTAAGATCAGTCAAACGAAGAAGAAGGCATTTCCCCATATAACCAGCTTTAATTCCCATTTCTTAGAAACCCCACATAATGACATTAAATCTAAAAGGCTTCCTAAAGGCGCTTTCATTACAAGTGCAATAATCTTGGCCTCACAGCTATGAAGTAAAATGGAAACACAGTAATTAGAGGGCACCATCCAGAACGACTTAGCAAGGCTTGCTCATCATCTCACATATCTTCTGGCCTAAAAGCAACAAGGGAATCCAGCCAAGTAATTTGCTCCCTGTGATTAAGACTCTGGTTTGAGAGACAGCACAGATCAGCCAAGTGCCTCTCCCCATAAAGAAGGGTTGGGGAACACACTAGCATAGCTGAAATTAAACTGTGCTTTCCTGTGCAGTGGTTACATCAGGTCTCTATGTCCACAGCAACATCCCTATCATATCCTGCATCCTCATTTAAAGCACTGTACAGCCATGGCTGTTGATTTCTCACCTTTCTAGTTATAATTGTGAGAACATCATTGTCTTTCTGGTGTCCTTTGATGGTCCCACATGAAACCACTTGAGTAAAAACCTTTCATTTCTCATCATATTCTTTTCCTTTGCCTCACACTTGTCTATTATAGACAAGTGCACTGAAGACACAATGTTTGTTACTACTCTTGTTGGGCACTGACCCTGGCACTTCCTCCAGGCTGGATACTTGATCCATCCAATCTGATTCCAGTTGCACTAATTGTAATTCACTATGGAAATTCAGCTAAAGAAGTTACATAAATGACAGATATGTATATTTTCAAACTAATTCTTAATTAGTATCATGTTCTATTTGATTTGAGGTGGTTTTACAAGCTAATGTGTCATCAAATGAATGTTATAATTCATTTCACATTTGTTTTGTTCAAATTGTATCACTGGCACAATAAAAACGACAGTCTTGTTTGTCTTTGTTTTTTTTCCTGTCTTAAATAAATGAAAATAAGGTGACATGGCACACCGTAATCAGCCAGTTATCTGCTGTCAGGTGACATTTTAGTCAGCTTGATGGATTTCTCTGTCTGACCAGTGCAAGCAAAGGGTCAGCCAATCACTCCCAGTGCCTGCCACTGGACAAAGATGCTAACAGGGCCCTGACAGATTCTGTCCCTCCCTCTCTCTGACTTGGCTTAATTCATCACCCTACAAACAAGACCTTCAAGTGTTCAGAACAGATAGCGACTGCTCTTGTGAGCTCAACAGCATAAAGGCACACACATGCACGCCAGTGCACATGGACCCTTCTACACAAATGTATGCACCATCATTATCATGACTCACTGCAAACACACATATCACATTCACATTCATATATACTGGATCACCCATCATACCCGGTGACATAACATAATCATGTTATGAACCCCATTCATGCACTTGCAGACCCATCATAGCATGCCAAAACATGATGTAAAGTATGCACCACTGTAATAACATGCTGACTCACCATGGGAGGTTTTGCTCAAGCCATACAACTTGCTTGGCAACAGATTTGTCTGATAACAGCCTAAGTGCATTAGCTGCCCCGGTAGGAGGGGTCTTGTAGGTAGGGTCAAAGCAGCACGCAGTCAGCTGAGCCTCGCCAACTGTTGGCCAACTAAATAAATTAGGTCACTGCCAGATCCTCTCGGTTCTAATACTGCAGTATCACAGGATTAACAGAGGCAGATCTCACCTGCTGACCCCTTAAGTCCTTTCCTCTGGGGAGGGGAATTAGTAAAGGCTTTCTTAGCCAGTGAGAGTCACAGCTTGTTTTTTGAGTTGACCAGTGTCAGGGCACACTCGGCAACTATGAAACAATCACCAGACCCACACATTAAAAAAACTGTTACAGATGTACATTGCTCCTTACTAACTTTACATGTGTTCTAACTGTTGCATGACCAAACAAACCATTTGTGTTGTAGCCAACACCAGTCAATCTATGATGAAATTCCAGATGCCCCGTAAAAAATAGCAACCCCTCTTCACACAGAGACAGGAAATGGCTGTTGAGAAATGGGAGTCGTCTGGTATTTGCTTTTTCCACATAGAACAGGGGTGAGAACTCCAACCAATGTCATATCCTGAGCAACTCTTAAAGACTCACACTACAGTTCATCCTGCCAGTGTTTTTCTATGGGATTTGAAATACTACACATGTACTTAGAGTTAAAGAATCTTTTGTTTGATGAGGAATATACTCTATATTATAATAGAATCTATTTTTGAACTATCAACAGGATATAAATTCAAAAACCAGAAAGGAAACCACAAACATTTCAGTCAGGAACCCACTGACAAACTAATTCTACAAAACAACATGTAGGCCTTCTTCAGGAAACTCTCCCAACTGAGCCTCAAATTTTAGGTGTATGCCACGCTACTAAATCTGATATACAGTAAGTAAAAGAAAACCTATGCTAAAGGGAGCAAAAGTGAAAGTAGCATGAATACAGTGAAGAAGCAGCTGCTGCATTGCATGATGTGGATTACCTCTTTTCTGCATGAAGGTGAAGAGATCATCCAAAAACTCCTTCCTTTTGGGGTCATTGTCCAGCTCATACAACTGAAAGAGGAAACAAGCTTATTACTCATGATGCACAGTTTGGCACATTCAGCAAGCTAAACTGTCACTAGAAACAAAGCAAGAGCGGTCTGCAAAGAAAAACTTTTAAAATGCGTGACTTTTATCAGACATATGCTCTATTTCTACAGTTGCGTGAAAATGAATAGTGTGCTTTGTCTGTCTTTGCAATGTTCTTTGCAGCACAAATACTGACCAGGTCTTTCCTCTCACACAGGCATAGACATGCACGTCAACAGCCAGCTGACTGTTGGCTATTACCATGGTGTGCTTGAGATTAACATTTATTAATTAAAAGAGGTAAGGCAACATGAGGCTATGCACCCGTCAGTCTTTGCTGTTGCTAGTTCTTTGAAGCAGGCTTGGCGTTTCAAAGCAGTGGAGATATGTTTAGAGCTCTGCCCGTTCAAAATGCTTCAAAGGGTTCAACTATTTACAGTTTCGACAAATTTAGAGTTAATAAGAAAGAATATGTAATTGGTGCAACAGCTTCCTCATCCTGTGCACAGCATATGAGCGGAGTGGAGATACAGATGCATTCTGGGTCGGGTTTGGGCATGCTTCAGGCTCGTGAAGTGGGCAGTACTGGAACAAAATTGTGGGAGTGGAACATAGGGCGATGCTCCTTCATAAAAAAAAAAGAAAAAAGCTGCTCTGCGCTCTGTCCAAAATGCCCCAGCTCCTCGCTTGCTCATGCTCCACTCCACTCACATGTTCTGATCCTGTAACCACATCTTAAAGTACTCACCTTTGCAAAGTCTCTGGAGGCCTCTCCTCTTCCTCTGCTACTGTCAGCATCATCTGCCCAACCTGCACTCCCATTCTATGACAGAAAAAAGAAAACACAGATAAGGTCAATAAACTAAGAGAAAGTGGTTTCAAACACGTACAGAAAGGATCCATTCTGTTGTGGTCTCATATCTTTGACAAGTAACAATTTCTTATTATTTCTTTTTTTTTTTTGACACAATTTTTTTCTAAAATAAATTTTACATTTATCAACAAAAATCCCATCAGGTTAATACCGACTGTAGGCCAAAAAGCTCATGCTGGGTCAAAAAACTGACTAAACTTTAAGCTTTTTATTTTTATTTTTACCACAACTGCAATACAAACACAGGAAAAGTAATATAAACTCAGACTAATGCATTTTCCAGGAATTGGAGGAGTAACCTCTGGAGTTAATGTGCCCCTGAGCTCCTTGTCCCCCTCCCCCTTCATCCTCAAACATCTCCATTTGAACCAAACCATCTGCATCTGAGCCTGCCCCTCCCCCACCTGTCTTCCGACCCAGCTGGATACAAGGGCCCCACATCCTTCAGTCTTAACGCAGCTGTGACGGGTGGCCAAGTTCATGAAGTATAGCTGCCTGTCAGGAGGGGCCAGGAGAGGGAGGGCTGGTCAGTAGTCCTAGTGCACACACATGTGCAATGACTATGTTTGTGAGTGCAGATAGGAGGGGCAATGGCCCCACAAGAGAGGAAGGAAGGAAAATAGGGGAAGAGAGAGGTGCACGGTATGTGCAGACCAGGAATGTCTCCTAAAGACAAACCCTATAAAAGCATCAGGAATCAAAACAAGATCTGTTTGGAGGGGTACATTAATAGCTGCAGCCTAGAGTCCAGGAGCCCATTGGCCAGTGGCAATTACAGGGCCTGAAATGAGAGCTGAAAGGGCAAAGGTTGGCAAGGCCCCAGAGAGCAAGTCACTTTACTCTGTAGTTTTAACGGGTGTCAACAATTCATGCTCCCTAAACAAATACTCATCCGCCATCAACTTGCAAACTCACTGCAAATGGTATGTTTCACAGAATTAAAAAGATAAAATGGTTTTTGTTTGCAACAGCCAACAACCTCTTTTATACATAAAAACTAAAATGATTTGTCTTATAAGGGTGGAAATTTGTTTACATATTCACAACAGTGATAAATGCAAAAAACATTTTCCATATCATGGAAACATATTCAACATATTTTCCTTTTCTAACTAGCATGAAAATTTTGGTTAGCTAAAGCTACATTTCTAGTGTGTTCCGCGCGCCCTGCCAGTACCTGGTAGCTGCCTCAGGTGTCCCACGAGCCATCCAGGCTCAAAAAGACTCCTTCTTCAGCTTGACAGCATCCCTTACTTCCGGTGTCCACCACCGAGTTCGGGGATTGCCACCGCAACAGGCACCAGAGACCTTACAGCTACATCTCCAAGCGGCTGCATCAACAATGCAGCATATATACACTGATCAGCCATAACATTATGACCACCTGCCTAGTATTGTTTACATAGGAGTCCATGTGGCATTTGGTTGGCACTCATGTCACTCTGCAACTCACTGTGCATCTTCTGTGAATCCATTTGCTTCCACAGTTCTACTGTCTGGAAAAGCACAGATGTGCCTACAGTTCAGTGAAAAACTTATGTAAAACTGTGGTCGTGAGGACGAGATAGAGAGAATGTTTTAGACAAATTCAACAGCCTCATCGCTCTAGGTGTAATATCACCACTACAGCCCCTGACTCTTTTTTTTCATAGAGACCAATGTACAGTGTTTCTCATTTTCAACCATTTTAACAAAGATTCAAATACATTTTAATCTTTTAAAAAGTACAAATGGAAGTTAAACGTTTAATCTACAGTAGGTCAACCTCATCATCAGTGAGCCGTGGGCGTCAATGACCCTGTCTCCAGTTCACCATGTGTCCTTCCTTAGACACTGTTGGTAGATACTAACCATTGCAGACCAAGAACACCCACCAAGACCTGCAGTATGGGAGATGCTCTGACCCAGTCATCTCACCATCACAGTTTGGTCCTTGTCAAAGTCACTTACATCCTTACACTTGCCCATTTTTCCTGCTTCCAACATGAACTTTGAGGACTGAATGTTCACTTGCTGCCTATTATACCCCACACACTGACAGGGGCCACTGTAACAGATGGTCAGTGTTATTCACTTTACCTGCCAGTGGTCAGAATGTTATGCCTGATTGTATGCACACACACACACACACACACACATATAAAAATTCCCCACTCGCCCCACATCTGGCATCTGGGGAGGTCTTATTCCTTCCTTCAAGCTTGCATCCTCTACCAGAGGCCTGGGAGCTTGAAGGTCCTGTGCAGTATCTTAGCTGTTCCTAGGACTACACTCTTCTGGACAGAGATCTCAGATGTTGTTCCTGGGATCTGTTGGAGCCGCTCTCCCAGTTTGGGGGTCAATGCCCCCAATGTTCCTATTACCACGGGGACCACTTGTGCCTTCACCTTCCACATCTTTTCTAGCTCTTCTTTCAGCCCTTGGTATTTCTCAGGCCTCTCGTGTTCCTTCTTCCTGATGTTGCTATCACTTGGGATTGCTACATCTATCACTACGGCCTTCTTCTTCTGTTTGTCCACCACTACTATGTCCGGTTGATTGGCCATTACCAGTTTGTCAGTTTGCATCTGGAAGTCCCACAGGATCTTAGCTTGGTCATTCTCAACCACCTTTACTGACATAACCACAAACTTTAAACATGAAACACTCCTCATGCGCAACATGCCTGAAGCATAAACTATACAGAGACAGATGCACAGTGACAGAATAGTGGCACCTCTACAACAGCATTTAGAAGTAGCCTACTAATCGGTCGTCAGCAGAGGATGACAGTAAAGTACAGCTTGTCACAATGCCAAGCCAGTGATGGAGGAAGTACTCAGATCATTACTCTAAAAATACTCTGTTACAAGTAAAGGTCCTGTGCTCAAAATGTTACTTAAGTAAAAAAGTATTAGCATCAAAATATTGTTAAAAGTACCAAAAATAAAAGTGCAAAATGGCCAGTTTCAGATTAATATATGTTAACTGGTGTGTTCATCTTTAATGTTGCATTTGGTAATGGTGGGGCTCATTTTAATCACTGTAGCTGTGGGTTGCTTAATCTATAACAAGTCCTTTAAAATAAAACTGCACATAGTTATTTCTGTAAATTGTCTGTTTGTTACCAAAGCATTGATCATTAATGCAGTTATGACAGAAAAAATGTGTTGCATTGCGTGTCGATTTAATTGGTGCTGCTAAATGTTGTGCTGGTGCTGCCAAATTTTGGCACCAGTGCCATTAGAGAAAACTGAACATTATAATTACATATAATGAGGGAGGATTTTCTGTACTACTGTTGCACTACATGGTATTACTTTGTTAGGTAATTTGGTAGCTGAATGTAGGTAAAATACATGTTCAAAAAAAAAGCGTTTGTGATCACACTTGTTGATCACACTTGTCTGTTGACCCGCAAGTTATGAAAAAGGCTCTACATGCTGTCCTCTCCATTTTAAATGATTCTATTGTCTCGCCCATAAACTGGAGGGGTGGGACAGATCACAAAATTTACAGTTAGGATCGCATCACGGATTGAATAATTTTTTGGATCAGCAAAAAAAAAGAAAAAAAAAAGAGACAAATATAACTTCACTTTCCATTTATTATTTAAAGAATTAAAGTGAGCCCTTAAAGCAAGAAACTTTTGCATATGGTCTTAAGAAAACAACAATCAAGATCCTCAATAATTAAATAAAATCTTAAAATAAACCCTTACCTTACATACCATAAGGGTTTTGTTCAATGCAACTCTGTAATGCTGTATCGAGATTTTGGGAAGTATTGCTTTACAAGACAACAGTAACAATTTCACACTGTAATAATTAAACTCTAATTAATCCAGGGTTCACATGACGGCCGAATGGTGGTGGGTGGCTCACAGATCAGCCATGATCCATCCCACCTCTAATAAACTGTATGGTCATACCAGTAATTGTCATCTAAATAGGCTTTTGCTTTAAAAGCATATATAGTCTAATATATTATCCCATGTATTATGCATCCATGGGAGGCATGATCATATCTGTGTTTGATATTTAATCATTTTACTTGAATGAAAAATTAATGTACATGTGCACCTGTACTAATGTGCGTTAGGTCTTAAAAAGGTCTTAAATTTGATTTTAAAAAGTGTGCAGCACCCGGTTACAGAGAACATCCTACTGTCTGCACTAAACTAACATTCTTTGCATAACCCTGTATGGGACAAACCTCACAACATACCCCTGCCTGAATGTCGATGAATAGCTGGGGGGTAATTCAGCACAGCCATTATAGAAAGATGTCTGGAGTGGAGCCACCATTTTAGTGAGGCCAGGCAGGAAGGCCAGGAACAAGAAAGGTTAATGGCTGCTGCTTGGTGAGTGGGGTTGGATGGCATTGATTGCTCAGGATGATGACAGCACTTGTCCAATATGTTAGTGGAACCATTATTAGATGAAGAGGCTGGTTCTTAATACAAGCATCATGTGATTTTCTGCTTCTGCAAATTTGAAACATAGAGGCAGACCTGAAAACAGCTGTTGTTTTGTGGCCTGCTAATGGGATCCTGCAGACTAAACATGGCATAATGAAGAAAGACACATGTCTCTGCTGTATCAGAACTCTGTTAGTCCTCAACCACATCTCAAATATTCCCACTCTGAGCTGTTGTTGCCCTGGGTGTTCAACCCTGCACATCTCCACACTGCAGACCAGGTCCCCTGAGCAACAGCTATTGAAGAGGAGACACAAATCAATAGCCCTGGCCGCGCAAGCACAAGGAAGTCCCCAGCCCCCTTTGGACACAATCTCGCAGCACATGTCAATACTCATCATCCTCAGCCAACTACAGCCATGCCAGGGAAACTGAGAGGAGGGCAGAATCACAGATCCCACGGAGAACTAACCCCTTCACCTCCAAGAATACATATTAAATTTGACCAACACAGTACAGGTTTCCATGGGAAACCCTCATCAAGTGGCAC